TGAATATGTGTTTAGTTGCATTAGAATATATCATAAAAAATGGCACGTGACAGCCCTTGAGATTCATGGTTTGAAAGCTATAGCTGAGTAAAAAAAACGCAAAGTAGATGAGATTAGACTAGACATGTCCATTATTGCAAAGAGGTAACTATAGTTTAGACACACATTTCACATAAAGGCATATTTAGTCTAAGGGGGAGCGAGCAAGGATACGTTTTTATACTAGTTTCTTTTCAAGGAGTTCAAAGAAGACTGACGTCCTATCTCCTTTTTTTAGCTGGCCGTCTTAAATCATTTTCATCCCCAATATACATGTAGTACTACAGTTTAATGTACGTGAACCCTCTATCTCTTCTGTACAGTGTGAATACAAAATATGCATTGATTAACTTGGATTTAGCCGGGATCTACGTTCTACCTTCTCTCTGACGTCATTCTTAGTTCCCATGGTAACTTCGTCGGACCCCCAAGAGTGAGGTAATGACGTCATTCCTCCAGGTGTCGTCTGAAAACACTCCACAACACGATATTATCGGAGCCAAAAACACAGAGTGCGTGCTGCGTGCGTAAGTTCACTGTAGTTATCAGAGGGACGCTCAAAGGTCAGATATATGATTAAATTTTGCTCCATGAGCAAATTGAAAAGAACTAAGCTCAAGTGTTTTTGTCATCACTCGCTTGTCTCGTTAACTTCAGGCCCCTTTTCAGAAGACGTCTATTGCTGAATGAATGTTGAGCGACAAAAATGTTAATTTGCGACCCTCTATACATTAGTTGGAATATGATGCGCAATGCAAACGTAAATGATTTTGGGAACAGCAAAACACACAAAACGTAATAAAAATCATGTCAATAAACTTCGTTGAGCGATCGCGATCTGTCAAATATTTGGTCGCTCAATCGTGGCAGCTTCTGGTCGAAAGCGGCTCCTGCACTACTGTTTTAAAGTAAGTGACTGTTGACAGAATTATTTTCAGAAGACTAGGTCAACCTTAGAATCAAAAGACTTTCTTTTCTTTAGTCCAGCTTGGATAGGAATAATAGGATCATTGTTTTTAAAAAAAAAATGGTATATCCTCCGGCGTATCATTGCAATAATCGCAGCTGTGTTTGTCTCAAATTAAAACTTAAAGCAGAGACGTCAACATTCATTCTTTTTGACTCAACTCTACAAATCAAATCAAATCAAATGTTTGGAATTAGGCTATATTTCACCAAGGGGCTAAACCTCCTTAATTCCACGGCATAGCATACATGTAAAAAGGGAAATTATCTCTATCCAGATTTAGGTTATTCAAGAGCTATTCTTCCAACACTGTTCATGGTAGAAAAGACAGACGATATGTACAGTATTTACAGATTCATTGTACCGGGGTAATTCCCCTAGTTCTTTTCTACAACCACAGTGTGCAGTAGTGGACCACGGCGTAATGTCCTTGGATAGTTCTGCGACCCTTTCCAGTAGCGTGCATGCGACAAAAAAAACAGGATTCGAATTCCCAACGTCTTGGTCCAGAGGCAGGGTCGCTAAAACCGCTGGACTAACCGCAGGTGTAGCTGGTGGTCTAAGTCTATATCTTATATATGTCGTCAACACACACCTCCCGCACACGCACAAGCTTGTGACGACCTTGCACCATGTTACTGTACTGATGATCGCACACGTGTGGGGACCTTGCCTCTAGCTCACCGACAGCCACTCTCAAAATACTAGTGTTGTTAGCAACGTAGGAGCAAGTCACTGATATCAAGAACCATCTAGTAAAAAAGGAAAATTACCTTACACTGTCGTTAGAAGTCGTCCAAGTGCACGTATAGACCCGTCCTGTTTTTCATATGTACCCGAGTTGTTAATGGGTCCAATTACGGAACAATGTCCGCCTGTAGGCGACTGTCACACGGGTCGGAAAAAAGGAGGTGTGTCCTCAGAAAGGTCAGAACCCCATTGTGTAACAATTGAGCTGTAACAATCGTGATATTCAATGTAGCAACAGATTGTGTCAAAGAACGCCCGCCAAGTTGTCGGGCATGTCAACGCGATATTTATGATGCACCCTTTATTGTGAGCGATGAAAGACCAACAATTTAATACTACATGCAGTAGATTGCTCGATGAATTATTTCATAATAAAAAAAGTGTGTGTGCTTTTTTCTCGAATATCTTGCATCAAATTCTGATTATAAAATCAAAGGTACTTAAAGCGATCAACTATATAGTTGAAAGGGGACCAAGGAGATGCTGTCATTGGATCGAAGTGATTTTTGATTTTGATAAATACGGCTGTAGTTGAAGCTATCGTCGCTAGATGGCATTTCTGAGTCTCTGCAGGTAAGTCATGCCATGGCCAGGTACATGTAACAACTTTTGATCCATGAAAATCAAGCCAACTTAAGCGATGCATGACGGTACCGTGTTTGTGTCACCTTCTGTACAATTTATCTTCTGTACTTAAAATTATCGTCTGTGCTAAAAAAAGGCCTCACTACATAAATCAAAATATATATTTGTGTATAACTATATGCTACCTGATTGTTGAGCTTACAGTTACATGCATGTAACTGCTCTGACATTTAAACAATGTATTTACATAAATTTACACAAATACAGACACACGCCCATGTACACAAACTCTTTGTCACACTCAAAATGAGACAGAACGTTGCAAATAAGATAGTAAGTCTTGAAATATAGCAAAACAAGTACACACAAAAAGAGAATGTACGCTTTTGTAGTTGATGAAATATCCATGTATAAAACATATTACAATAAAGACAAATATACGGAGCAAAGAAATCAAAATGTAGTGAGCATCATACAATTCCATGCCAATAATATAGCACCCTTGTAGCAAACATTGGTCAAGATAGGGTTTAATTCATACCTATCATAATTGTGCTTAATAAAATAAATTATGGCATAATGGAATCAACAGAATTCTGTGTCGAAACATCACGACCGAAACAGTATAGCCTATAATCACATATGGGCTGCTAAAAACAAGGGGGCCTGACAAAATATAGGTCCCTTTGCAAAAACTATACACATTTTCAGATGACTTCAGCAAATACAAATATACACCTGGGCAGACCAACTGTCCCTAACCCACTGCACAGTATAACTAAATCAATCCAGGAGAATGGCTATGTAACATGTATTGGTCAGGTCTAGTCATTATCAGGTTGACTCTGCACATGTTCCTTATAATGTTACATACAGGCCAAACTCTAAATGTACAGGAGCTGGGTAGGGCCAAAAATGGCCACAGAAGTTCACAATGTTACAACATGGCTTCTTCATACATGTATGTTTTATTCTTCCCCATGAAGATTTTTTTAGTAACAAATGCAGTAACGGTATCAGATGATGATACAGTTTCTTAATTAATGGATGAATATCAATCATGCTATTGGCTGTACTACCGGTAATTAAAAGGTTCCTATTGTTTTGAGTACTGATGACATTTGTTGTACTTGATAATATTGCTTATCACTAACACATGGTAAACTCAGTGTATGTTTCTGCAAAATCTTGCCTGGCTTGTGTTTATTTTGGCAACACCACAGGAGCACAGCCATTTCCTCATTATCACCTTTTTACTGAGAGCAACAAACCATGATGCAAGATGAGGTTATGTTATGTTACATGTACTACCTAGGCAGGGGGAAGCCTGCTACAGCCAAGTCTGAAGAATAACAAATAAAATTAATATGCAAGAACTCAAAAATGCAGCACAAACATTCATCTTTCAACCAGGCAAAGACACCATGTGATAATTTACATTACAAATACCTTAGTTTACAATATACAATTCATTAACATTGCACGAAATGAAAGTTGAACTCCAGCTCTTAAAACTTCCACAACAAAAGTTTGTCCCAAAACATGAACCAAGGCCTGCTACCCTGTGAGTTACAGCAATGAACATGGAAGTAGTGTTAAGAATTGGATTTCGAATACATGTATTTCCTAACTACATGCATATACATATACAACACATTCATACAGGAATTTTGTCTTAAGCAAGCAATTCAGTCATGGCAGATGAATTGTCAAATTGTATGATGATTATTTCTTGATCAGCTACATATATAGTCTGACTTAACTATTGTCTTGTTTCTTTTTACACTATTCTAAGAGCCTAACCTATGTGAGTGTCATTGGAAATATTTGTTTTGTACAGAATATGACTGCTTCGTGTCTTCGCATTGGGAAGACTGTCCATTTTCAGACATGGAAAATTAAATTCTTCCACAATGTCTCTATGAGTTGTCCTTAGTTTTAAAATGCTACAATAACACTTTGCATAGAGACATATCATGTTAAAATAGACTGTGTTATGCTCTGTAGCTAGTCAAGCATTGTTGGTCAGGTTAGACAAAAGAGAATATACCGTGAAGGCAAAGTCTTGTAGTTTTCTTAGCCTCCTTATCGGGCTCTATATGCCTGGCTTTTTGGGGCTTACAATGTGCCCTTTTCTGATGGTATATCAATTCTTGGTACTCAGTTTCTTGTAGGTCACCTCTGAAAAGGCAACTAAAAAAGCCTGACTCAAAGAGCCTCATGAGGACTCTATACTTCTCTGATGCTAAGGTCACTTGGCATAGAAGTAACATTGTTGTGAACTGGTTTGACATATGAAAGCAACAGCAGCTAGAACAAAACAGCAACATGAAACATGCAACAAGAATATTTTCTTGAAAACTCACCAATAACTCAATAACTACAAAATTACTTGAAGTATTGTGTTGCACTACAAAACAAAAAATCTGCAGTGGCTTTTGGATGGCATGATTAATTATCCCATGTAGCCTTCAGTTGTAGCGAGAAGTTAGTACAACAAATTTTTACAAGAAACAGAATAACACATTCAAGAAAATGTATATTGTACACAAAACGTTGAATATGGAGATTTCTGCTGTACTGTCATGTTCCAACTACATGTAATGCACAATGTATCTCCTAGAATCACTGCAAGACCACAGTTCACGAGAACAAACCTTTCTAGATGTATGGGCTGTGTGATAGAATTCTAAGATGTCAATTGTCCATATATGGCAACACTCGAGAGAAAGTGCATCCTTATGGCCATTAAACATACATGTATACATGTAAACTGGAAAAATTCAGCAACAGGGACACAAACCCAGTGACAAAGCAGTTGATAGTTTCATTAATACGATCCTCATAAAGTATTTTAATTTGAACGACTGAAATCATGCAATTGTTTCCATCCCTGTATGAGTATTTGCTCAGTTACCCTAATATTCCATTAAATAACTAGTTTGCATATTTATTATTACCATTCGTTCCTATCTAAGAGGATTCTCCATTCATTTAAATATGCTTCTGTTACCTTCATCATATTCTCAACGCTATGACTTTCTTGATACAGAGCTTTTACAAACTGTGGTTTGTTTGGAAAGTTTTGTTTTCCCTCAATGCTCTTCCATGGATAACAGAGTTGAGTTATTTTCACTTTTTTTGCACCTCTAGAAAAAGAACAGACTCTGAGATACTTTCAAAAGTACCTGGACTGTTTCCCTTCACTGACCGATCAAATTTCTATGCTACATACATGAAGATTTATGTGTACAAGTATTTCCTAATTTCACAATGAATCTTGACAGAATTATCTTGAGTTATTCAGTGATAGAGCCCACTTTAAAAATTCAATCCTCATGAAGTCAATAGGAAAATCCATATTAGGTGAGCTGACATCACAGAAAAATTCAACAACCACTAGCCCATTTGGTATCTCTTTGAGTAAATCTTCTCGATGTCTTGTTTTTGACTGGATGACGATGTTGTGTACATGCAAAGGTGAACATGACTGAGAAATTGTTTCTGAACTAAAGGAACTGAAGTTTGGTTAATACATGTATCACAAGACAAGCTGGTCATGATCAGACTAGATTCATGATGTTTAAAATTTGTCTCATTTGATGAGTTTCTCGTGTCTTGTCAGACAGAAGTGAAATGAGTGTCCAAATTTAAATCCTTCATTCAACCTCCCTTTATACCGTGATAAACTTCCAGTTTCTCATTGGATGAGAGAGTATACTGCATCCCATAGACAGGTATAAAACACCACAATAAACCAATCATCTACCCTGTTTGATCTTGTCAATCTTTGTAAGACATTGTCATCTTTGCTGTCATTGGCATAAAGTGCATCCAATCAGAATGAAGAAGACAATGGAGTGAAGCAATCATCTGCTCTGTTTGATGCCATGGAACATCCAGTCGACCTTGGTGGAGTAGGACCTGCTGTAGGCTTCATTGAAGCAGCTGGAGAAGTACTGAAGAGCTTCTGTGTCTGTCATCTCCACAGCCAGAGTCTTACGCAGGTACTCAATGTCGTCAAAGGACTGGAGCTCGGGGATCCCCGTGGAAAGCATCATGGTGAAGAGTACGATGAACAGGTTGGCGTGTTTGCGGAGATAGAGGTACGCCCGACGGCACAGCTCTTGGAAACTGGAAACGGTAACAGCTGATGAGTCATCTTTTTTAAGCTTGACCCAGCTATGTTCTTCCAACCACAAATTTATAGTTCTATCAGTACAGGAAGGTTGAAAAATGGTTAACACAGATCTGTGAACAGGTTATACATGGCACATACACATGTACATTCTTCTTCAAAATAAAACTTTTAACTATTACTTTGAAAAATGGATTTCTAAAGGCTTCATCTTTCAACAATCTAACATATCAGTATGAAAATATTATGCTTATTTATTCACTGAGGCATCTATGGTAAGATGAATTCTAACTGAAGACAAAAAACAGTACAACGCTTGGGGACAGCCAGGCTTTGACTTTAACCCAAGATCTTACCTTTTAAACTCCTTGCTCTTCTGGTAGTCGCCTCCCTTGGCTATGACCTTGAGGAAATCTTCAGTCAGTACGAAGGGCACACGTTCCCTCTTGTACCCAAACTTCTTCTTGAAGTGGCCCAGGAAGTGGCCGAAGTCGATGTGGAAGATCTGTGAGAGGAAGTGATATTTTGGGATCAAGAATATGTCTACAGACAGACTGACCACTTTTACCAAGATGTGCAAAAGTGGGAAAAAATGGAATAAAAAAATAATCACTGAAGAGTCATTTCTAAGACAACAGTTGCCATACTGGTCAAGTTTAGTTTAATGACACCTGCTTGGATATCTTGACACACTGATTTTTGTCTGTCAAAGACAAATGGATTGGGCAAAAGTTTTGTCCATCATCACTAGCAAAATTATTTTAATTGATGGAAAAAAAGACGCTAACAAAGAAAACTGGTTGAGAGGACTGTTATTGTCTTACCTGCCCCTCTTCGTTCACCATAATGTTGTCGTTATGACGATCACCGATGCCCAGGATGAAGGTGGCCACACAGTAGCCTGCACAGGACAGTGTGAAGGCCTCGATGGCTCGGTCATACCTGGACAGGGACATCAACACCTGTTAACGGACTGAAACAAGCTGCAAGTTTCCTCCACTTCCCCTTAATGCTAGCAAGATCTGTTTCACTGAGAGATGGTCATTGTAATCTCCCAGGAGCTGTAGGATATACTGTAAGTAAGCAGTAGGCTGGCGTCCTCATCTGCATCTGCCATGAGATGGCTCATACAGAGCGTACAGTCTGACAGGTTCCTCCTCAGGCCTACATGTACATATGTATGCAGAATGTGTCCCAGAAAGTTCAGCTGTCTCTCTCTACATAGTAAATTCTTTAAAAACACACATTTAATTGTTTAAATCTGTGTTTTTAAAGAATCAAACATTCCTCCAATGCTCTTTCATAGCACCCATGCACTCAAAAATTTCATGTTTTTGTATTACATAGCAATGTAGTGTAGAAATGATTTTTTTCATCAAATGACAACATACCACTGCTGTGTGTTGTACCACTTCGCAAACTTAAAACAAAAAGCAGCATCAGATAATTCTGTTTCCCCGTAGATCTGACCTGTCCCCCTTGTTCTTGGACTTGATCCACTCGTGTAGAGAGTCGCTCCTGAGCTGCAGCGTGCCGGTGATGCCGCTCATCCTCTGGATCTGCATGACAGTCTTGGCATTCCTCACGACCTCAATCATGCCCACACAGTTACCAGCAGACAGGCACTGGTACGGCAGCATTCTGGGGGACAGAAGAGGGGCAAATACATGTATACCCAGATGAATGAAGCATAACTTTCCAATAATGTACATTTCATTCTAATCCTTTCAAACTCAACATCCAATTTCAACGATATTGTAATATCTCCAATCATCACATTAGGAATTTCAAAGTTGAAATATACTGTCTCTTCAATTTGCAAAATTCAAAGTGTCACACGTGCCCTATCAGTATCAATACATGTATATTTGTATATTTGATACACAAAACATCCTAATCTTTGAGGTACATGTATTCATTTATTTGTAGTGGCCACTATTTTCCCATTTTCTCATGTACTAATGTTTAAGTCAGATTTGACAGATGAACAAACAAACAAGCTGTAGCTGTGATCTGTTTGAATGAGATCCCACCTGAGATCCAGCCCCTCGGTCTGCCAGATGTTGTCCATGATCCGGATCATCTGTAATGTCAGCATGTCCTGACGCAGATCTGAAGAGAAACAAAAAAAAATGCAGAAAATTAAACACATTAAACAACAGCCAGGTCAAAGATGACAGATTGGGCAAAATGTTCGTCTGACATGAGCAGCAAAATTCTGTCAAATGATGGAAAGACTGGTTCACAGCCAAGTGTTGCCAACCTGCACACAACTGTCCAAGCATAGACTAGACTGGCTAAGTCAGCACAGATTCTGAAAAACTTCTTACCATCACCATTCTTGAAGATGATCATCTGGTTGAGGAAGTAGAGGTCAGCCATAGGGTCAGGGTTCTCCCAGTTCAGCCACAAGGGGCGCTTGGCCGACTTCATCACTTTACACTCTTTAATACTGCATGTTGGAGGGAAGAAATATGAAATGACATACATGTACATGTAATGTAACAGGTGACTATCACCTCTTCCAGATGTCAAACCAGAGACCTGATTGTAAGGTTTGAACCACTCACACCGAGAAGGACCCCTACTATTTTCAAAAAGTGTGGTGGGATCTTTAACATGTTCAAGGGGTGGCTCTCCTTAAAGATGGGATATCTAACTTTCTGTCCTAACTGAAGCTATTTATTCATTTTTACCTCAAGAGTCAAGGGAGGAAATAGGTGCCTTTCCCAAGGACACAACAGTGGGGCCTGCCAGGGATTCAAACCCAGAACATTCAAATTCGAAAACCCTAACCACAATACCACCTTGCCACACCCCACTTATAGGACTGTTACTTGACGTGTAACAGGTACTTACAGCAGTGTTCCTAGCAGATGAGAGGGGTTGAGTGGACAGGGAAAGTTCTGCAGGGCCTCCAGATAATCCTCCTGGTTAATCTTCTCTCCTAGGAACTTTAATCTCTCCTGGAGATGAACAATAAAAAAGTCAGTACTGCTGTCATTCATGATACAAGAAAAAGATCAAATGAAGCCAGACTTTCAAAGACAAACAGTTATTGATAACTGGAAGAAACTCCACAATACACAGTCTGTAAATCTAGAATCTTGTGCTTATTCTTGTTCCTCTTAATCACAAAAAAAATTTTTACACTGACCAAAATGAATACTAGTACATGTATATTATTCCTCCAGCCCATCACATGAACACGCTGACACATTAACTTGAAGAGGTCAAATTTGTCAACCTTCCTCAGATAAAATCAAATGCGCTGACTTACCAGAAGCGTGATGGATCATTTATCTGACAAAGGTTGACAAGTGTGACCGAAAATTCATGATGACTTCTCTTTTGTGTTGAAACAAAGTTTAAACTCTACCATTCTGGATTGATTCTACCAACACAGGTAAGCTCTCATTCCAACAGTCCTTACCCTCTGTGTTGTGTCCTTCTTCTCTTTCTCCCTCTCCTGTAGTGTTTCAGTCAGCATGGTGAGTTTCTCCTGGGCCTCCACTTGTCTAACCAGGTTCTTCAGGTACGCTCCACAGGCTCGACAGTAAGCCTCCAACAACAGGCCAAACCTGATCCGAACATTCTTGTTGGACATCTCTGCCCTACAGAAATAAGAAGGCTCTTTCAGGATTGGACATCTTAGTATGTTTAAAGCTATTCATATTTTGTATAATTACATGTAGTAGTTTATACACAACACCCTTTGTTCTTTCAGATGATTGTACCACGTACATTCAGACTGGACTGTACCATGTACAGCTACACTGTATTTTAGTGAATGCAATTATGAAGTATGTACAAAATCCCAAACAGTAAACCAGTCAAAATAGCTACACTTAAAGTCATTGCAGAATTTTCTTACATGTATGTACATGATATCACTACAATTTTTATGTGTACACTGAATTATTAGTGTTGCAATTCTGAGGATTAGAAGTTTTCTTTTTATGTAATAAACAAGCCTTTAGGGTATCTCCATCATATCAAGTTTTGCCATGGATGTGCTGACTTACTTGAGATGCCAGAAGAAGAAGTGGCCAATCCTCTGGTTGAGGAGAGAACGTTCTAACAGCACTCTGGCCAGTGGATTGTCCAGATAAGGCTCATACTTCAGAACCTGGGGCAAAAAGAATTACATAGAATAATTTTCAAACATGTGCACTGTACAAAATTTTACCATGTTTACACATTTGTTGTCTCATAGAGTCATAGTCACAGCAAACAAACCAGAGAAATGGAATCTTGACATTCATGTATGTGCCTACAACTGGCATCCTAGAAATTCATCTACCATATCATGAGCTACAAGAGCCATAGTTCCTATTCTTGTGATTTTCCTAATAATTTAATTTGTACCTCCGCTTTCTACTATCTACTACATGTTGACAAATACTGACCATCTAACTTCTTCCTCCAGTGAAATTAGAAATCATAACTTTCATCTGGGAATCTATAACACTGGCTGATCTCTCCAGCTTTGTCTGTAGTTAACAGAAGCAAAGACAAGATTAACAATTCCCCACCTGTACAAGCTGCAGCAGGTACTGTGAGAGTTGGTCGTCAGTCATGGTCTTCCTCAGACAGTCCACAGCGAACTTTCGCACCTTGAGGTCAGCGTACGTACAGTCTAACAGCTCCAGGGCAGTCTCTGGGGACACCTGTGGCCAGTTCTCCAGTAACATGTACATCTGGAAATATACAATAAAATTAGTGAACAAAAATGTAATAATTTAACATAATGATTATAGCTCTTATTGATACTACTCAACATGACTGTACCTGGTACACATTTTGTAGAGAGTCAAGAAAGTAATACATCCAAGGAAAAGATAGTAATTGTCTTCCTTGCTATTTTATACTTCATGTGTGAAAATCATAAATATGTTGTAGTGTCCTAGTTGTTTGTGTACAAGAAGCCAGCACGTAATATCAACTTGTTGACCATTCCTTAGTTTTAACAGATACATGTACCCCTGAACACAATGTTTCTGAATCAGAACATTCAATTTGGTTAATGTATCTGAATCTCGAGTCTCATAGATCTTGGCTGTCGACCATCCCTTCTTCCATGGCTGGGGGATTTCCTGACGGGGAGGAAACAACGCACCCGCTACCAGGACACGCTGTCTGAATGGAGGACGCTGACATGTGGACTTCCCCAGGGCACCGTCCTCGCGCCCATAGTGTTCATTGCTATCATCAATAGCGCAGCAAGCACAGCCCGATCACACCACTGGAAATTTGTGGATGATCTGAACATGGTTGAAAGCAGATCAGTCAAAGCACAGTCAAACCTACAACAAGATCTAAATGCCCTCGATCTATGGTCTAGTACAAACCACATGAAACTACACCCAAACAAATGCAAGGTGATGCATATCGTTTTCAGAAGAACACCTCCCCCACTCCCCACACTTCAGTTAGCGGGCCACGTCCTTCAAGAAGTTACTGCAGCCAAGTTACTGGGAGTCTGGGTACAGAGGGACCTAAAGTGGGACAGTCATGTTACCCACATGGTGAAACAGAGCAGTAAACGGTTATTCATCCTACGACGGTTAAAGAAGTTCAAGATCCCCGAGACAGATCTTGTCACCGTTTATACATGTTACGTGCGCCCCTTGTGCGAGTACGCTGTACCGGTATGGAACCCTGGTCTCACCAAACTCCAGTCAACCCGTCTAGAGACAGTTCAACGCCGCGCATGCCGCACCATTCTGGGCAAGAAGTACACCTGTTACTCTGAAGCACTTACAGTCCTCGGCCTGTCTACCCTTGAAACAAGGAGAGAACTGCTGTGTACGAAGTTCGGACTCAGTCTACTGAACTCTGCTTCCTTCAGACACTGGCTCCCTCCATCTCGGGGCGAAGTCAGCGGGCGGAAAACCCGAACTAGTCACAAACTGAACTGTATTGTTGCAAAGACTCAGCGCTACCGCAACAGTTCCATCCCATATATTGTTAGCCTACTAAATAAGTAATCGAGCGTTCTCGGTTACGACCTTCCAGTCATTGAGGGGTAATTAACTGTCATGCCGTAATAACACGTTTTGTTTAGTAGCCCTCTTTATGACCACTGTTTTACCTCGAATTCGTAATCTTAATATGTATTTTATCCAGCAATGTAAACTTATTAACATTTATAACTCTAATAGATTTTACCATATGTGTATATGTTTGTAATAGATGTTGTTCGATTTTAAAGCTTTTAATGGGTTGTAATTGTAAGTAACAGTGCAATTCAGAACCCCTGGGTTCTGCAAAACTGTTTTACGCCGTTATCAATAAACCAATCATAATGTATATATTTAATATTGGAGCTAGAATCAGACTCATAACTACATGCTGTTTCTTTAATTACCTGGGAGACATCTTCTCTGCTACTCCACTTACACGACTGCAACAGTCTCGGGAGAGAGTCTTGGATTTCTTGGCATCTTTTCCTGTGATAGTTTGCACAGATTTTGATTGTAACACATAAGACTGGACTCAAAATTAACATTTATCCCAAACCATCTACATGTTGCAAAAGCCTCAACACTTGCATAACTACATGCGCATGGCAAGTAGGATAAAATTCATTTTATTTTGCAAATGCAATTAAAAGGAAACTTAAAGTTTGAGAGAAATTAAATCTTTTAATACACGTCATACATGTAGTTGAAATTTGGCTATCTGAGTATAAAATTGAGTCAGATTAGCATTACTAGTAGCTCAAGAAAGATTGTCAGTCTCAGAGCAATTTTGACCTGCCCCCTGTCCTGACATGGTTCAGTCTTACCTCATCTTCCAGACCAGGTCCTTCTCCTGTTCTGAGAAGTCTGACAGCGGGTCTTTCCTCAGGATCTCATGGAGCTGCTCCAGTTCACTGTCTCCGTTCTCCGCGTAAGAGTTACTCGCTCCGTGGAGCTGATGGGGGGAAACACGGTAGCACAGAGGTTAAACACCTGCAAGTACATGTATCTACACATTGTACACTTATATTGTAAAATGTATGCACTTGTCGATACAGTTAAAAATGTTTCATGGGGGGATGTTTCATGGGGAGGGGGTGGGGTGCAATGGTTTCCACTCTTGTCATTTACACTTAGACATTAGTTAGAAATCTGCAAACCCCTGATTATTTTCTCTGATACAAATATACAAGGCTTTTAGTCATGTAATACTATTCAGAATCAACTGACATTTCATCATCATCGGTCAACTGTATTGGTAAGGGTTATATATATAGAATACAACACGGTGTATTCCGTATCGGCTGAGGTACCAGCCCGACCGCGCGTCGGATCGCCCGACGGCCGAAGGCCGGAGGGAGATCCGATCCGCGGGAGGGCTGGGACCGAGGGTGATGCGGAATACACCGTGTTGTATTTTATTTATGTCATACCCACCCAAGACAACGCGCCTTTCAATGCAAAATGAGCGAAAATTTGGTGTCCCTAAACCCAAAAAATGCGACATCATCAATTCCAACGTCCGAATTTTGTATTCGAATTTCGAAAACGGTGCACGCGGTTAGGCCGAAACACGTTCGAATCGTTCCACGGAACATTTGGAAGGCCCAGGCCGTACGCGTAAAGAACCCCCGGGCCGTACCGCTAGTTATCACACGGGCCGGAACACCCGTATCGAACGTAATCGCGGCCCAGGTAGGACATAATGCCCCTTACGAAGCAACATACCCTTTCGTTAGCTTAATACAAGACGGGGTTCGCCAATCTTCATCAATATCTTTCCTGTCACGAGTGCCTGTAAATGTATGTTTTTACAGCCAGGTTCAGCATAGATTTATGTACTGGTATGTGATGAATTTCATCAACCTTCTCCATACAGTCACTGTACAAACAGTACCCACTTCTGTGGCCACAGAAAAAAAGCATTTTGTTTTATCTCTAACTTTGATATGACCATCCCTTGTATTATTGATAGCATAGATACTTTGATGAGTGCATTTTATGAGTGCATTTGATCTTTTCTTGCTTTGTATTATCTGCTCATTTCTTCGGACATACATTGATCATTTTGTTTCATCTTCATATCATGTACAGTATTGATCTCCACATACACAGCCTTACTAATTAAACAATTCCAGCAGAATTTACATTCAGCTTAAAAGAAATGGTGACTAAATAATTCCTAAGGGCATAGAGTATTAGCAGCAACCAGACACTCTGGTTACTGCATGCCATGTTTAGTGCACAAAACTGCTACAAGCTTGAAAGTTTCACTATGTACCATGTTTTTGCTGTTCTTCTATACTACAAAAAGGCATCGTGGAGGCGGATGCCAAAAGAGGGTCTGACACAGCAGCGAAGAGGGCCAAAAGGAGGCACCGGTAACATCTCTGCCCACACCATATATCTGTGCCACATGTGGCAGAGACTGTAAATCACATATCGAACTTTACAGCCACAGAAAATGCTGTCCTCCCAGGGTGTAGACGAAATAATCTTTGGAGACTGGACTGCCAATGATGATACTACAATGTACATGCAAACTGTGCTTTGTAGCATGTAATAAAAACCTGGCCCTAGAGAGATGAGATGATAGCTCTATGGCTATCTTATTGCTACATTCTACAAACTGGCTGTCACAAGGCATGACAAATATCAATGTTGGAATCAACAAGAACCACGACTACAGATCCAAAACCATTACTTGGATGCACTGTGCTTTAAGAATTACAACACTGCATTCTTCTTCTAGCATGCTACAAAAGTACAGGATTATAGATTTCAGCCTGAGCTGAAAGCCTGCACTTGGATGTAGAGAGCTACTTACACTAAAAGAGTTTCTTACTGTACATGTACATAACCTGGGGCCAATCCTACATAAAACAGCCACTTCTAATGGATTTCTTATCGTCCTGCTTTCCAAGAATCGTGCTGGCTTTCAGATCCTTGACATTTTCCTGTGATGAGGCTTTCAGATTTGAAAAAGAAAAAACCATGATTTAGGAAGGATCTGTCTACAGACATGGGAATACTGACATTGGGCATACCTCATAAACTGTTTAAGATATGCTTTATTGTACCTATTCATCAATATCTCAAAATATCCTTTTAGATGAAGAAAAGGAAGAAAGTAATGTTTCTTGATAAAAAGCAAACAAATGTAGATGTTTATGTTGGTGTGATTGCAACTATTCCTACCTTTCATTCAATACGGACATCTGCAAATCTGAAGTAGCCTGTTGGAGCAAGGCTCACTCACTCATCTTTGTATGTTTTCTTTTTTAACTTCAAGATACGGTTCATCTATGTAGAGATCTACTGATCTACAAATATTGTTTGTTTTCTGCAAATAACAGTATGGGATAGCCTGCTGTATGTATATGAGAGAAGTTTTGTTCTTGAAAAAAATAATAAGGTGGCATCACTGATGGTGAAGCTGTGTGTAAGAGATGGTGTTGAAGGATAGGCTTTACGTGCGATCTGATATTCATGACTTCAAGTTGCATTAGTTGCATTTCCGCTCATAACAAATGTATAAATGGAGTGAATGTGAGGAAAATGTGCCACAAAACCTGACAGTAAAACCTCATACTAAAAGTGTTCATACAATGTACATGGGCACTTGGTTACAAAGGCACAATATCATGCAAATAAAAAGTATGAAGCTGCAACCCCCTTTTATCAGATTTACAAACCCAATACTTTTAGAGAGAAACAGGTGACTGCACTTGGTTGAACATGTAACACATAACCACCACCACATCCACCTCTGGCTTGAATCATGTTATCGCCACATCAAGCTCCTAAGCCTGGCTGCTTGGGGTAATTTCCAGCTATAACAGCCTGTTTTCTGTCCACACAGATATAAAACAACCAAATGACCCAAATCTGTCATCCCCAAATGCAACTCATAACATTTTAGTTGCCAGAAGCTCCTGAGTTGATGCAGCTCTTCTGACATTTTACGCACATTGTCAAATTTTTTCCCTTGTAGGCAAACAACAGAGTGAAAGATCACTTCTATCCATGATAAAAAAGCCTGAAGCTCCAGTAGTTTGGACATGTCACAAGAGCCCAGAGCATCTCAACACACATCTTGCAAGAAAAGATCATTCTGTGGCACCAGACGTACATGTAGAGGGAGACAATATCAGAGACTGGCTGGATTCGAAATATTGGGTCTGTATGCACCTTAGTGCACGTAAAATTGGGGTGTGCAGTTATTTCTGAATCAGATGTCCTGTACCTAACCTGCACCGGTCCATGTACTGGGTTTATGTAGATTTCTATTTCATTGTGTAGGTATACAGTCATGTATGTGGATGTTGCATTGACTGTATCCACCTATGAAGTATACAAATTGTAAAAAATAATGTCAGTGGTTTCTGAACAGTTTATATTACAATGTAAATTGATCCATACTTCCTAAATTTTGGTAAAATTTGTCAGGTGAAGGTAATTTTCAATGCTACCAGCACCAGAGCAGGTATGCCGAAGAAAGGATGTCAAGTCCTGTACTGTGGGACAAAGTGACATACATTGCTTGCTGAGCTGGTGGTTCCTCGTAGGATGTTCCCCTCAGAGTTGACGTTGGCGATCCACTTGGCGTACTCCTCGATCTGCTGGTCGTTGGGATACTTCACCACATGGGCAAACCGGTCAAACTCCAGGTCTAGACACGGAGTATCCTACAAACAGAAAAGTCAACGAGAAAGATGTTTAAAGTTGAAACTTTTACTCCCATTGCAGTTAAGTGATGGGCCCTGATGTACATAGCCTCCTTCACCAGAGTGACTGTTTGAAAGCTCTAGGCAGGAACAATTCTTTCTGTTGGAACAAAAGTTTTAACTTTTTAACATGTAACTACCAACACAGATGAACTTTCATGACAGCATAAGAGAGAAAGATGTTAACATGCTAAGTACATGTACTTGATGATATTATCATTTTCTTAATCTTTCAAATACAGTGTGTGTACGTGTATGTGCTTTGCTTGACATTAAAGTAAGTAACTGGTGACTGCACTTGGTTGAACTCTTGGTAAACCACATGCTAACTTTTACCCTAATCCCCAAATGCACCTAAATGACTTGTAAAGCGCATCTCATTGACCCCTAGAGACTAAAATTTAATGCTACTGAGCTTTAATCATTCTACATGTACAAGTGGAAAAAAAAGATGCTATGTAAGGGAAGCCTTGATTGGTCAGTTTGGACCTACCTTGCTGGGATTTGACCGGTGGAGCCAATAGGATTCAGCAGGTCATCCATGCCATGGGGCACAGACCACATGTTGAGCTGGTACTTGCCGTTCTGCAGGTTGCCTTGGTAGTCAAACAGGTTGATGTTCCCCCAGGCCAGGCAGCAGTGGTCCTACAGGGAGGTACAAAAACACTGCTGATGTTTCTCTGTATATCATAACTTCAACAGATAAATACAGGTACATGTAGATGGTATATGAAACTTAGCCTCAATGCTAATATTCATAGCACATAAACACCCAGAACTGTCTCTGGGTTGTACATGACTGTAATATGTACATACATGTATCAAGATATACATGACAACAAAGATGTATTCAAGAATGTCAGGTACAACTTTGGGTGACAAATACATTTTCCTGACAAAGACATTTTCTTCTAATGAGACTCTTCAGACTAGTGCCTAGGACACTTTGGAACCTTTGGGTTCCACACACTACAGTAACTGTAACTATGACTGACTAACATGTGAACCTACACAACAGTACTGACTACTGGTCTACTCTAGATGGTACAATGGTGACCCATGGCACAACACATCACAGCTACATGTACTACACATGTCGCATGCTCCGGTCAGGTCATACCTCAATGATTTTCTTTCCCTTTTGTTCCTGTTGAAGCCGCGACAGACACAGAAAGACAGAGACACAGAGAACCATTGGAATGGTGAGTTACGGAACATGACTCTTTCCATGCATGCATATATTCCAAATGTCTTTCTAGAAGTAACATCATGAAACATGAAGTTCCATTGTTAGTACAGTTCTCAACTGCATCATACTTTTGGAATTGTACAAAAGACAGCCCCCAAGTGGTAAATATTCCAGAATCAATTTCTGTGTGAGGCTAATACCTACAGGTACATGTACATGTACATGTAGCTGAGTCTGTCTAAAACATTTTGAGTGACTGAAGACAGGACACATTTTCAAACTGACAACCGAATACTGCTTCATACTGTTGTATACATGTAGTCTACCTCTCTCCCTCTAATGTGATACTGTAACTGTTACAGTAGCTACAAGTACATAAACCAAAACATACAAAATAACAAAATGTCTATAACGCATATGATATACTAGCAGGGTAAGGATAAATCCAAGAGACTATCTGCTTAGCACTTATATGTATAAGAAAGACTAGAGCTGAACACACTCCACTACCAGTGGACTTACATGTAAGCCCCTACGTTAGTAGCCTGTGCGGACAAAGGGCTACAAAAATGGCACTGTCCCTACACACAGAAAGTGGGAAGTGCATATATTCACCTCCTTCTTCCCTTTCTTCCTGTTGACAGAGCAGATGGACAGACAGAGGCGTGCCGACCGCGGGATGTCCGGGATGGCGATCTCGTACTCCAGCCACTCGTTCCACAGCGGGTTGGAACACGGGACGCGGTTTGTGTTGACCGGCGTGCAGAGGGGCTCTCCTCCATGGTACACTCCTGATCTTACATAGATCTGAAAGTCAAGAGGAGAGGAGTTAATAACAGTAACAACAAACTTTACGTCCAAACCCACGCCTGAAGGCTAATTGCAAGACAATTCATATTTCATCCTTGAAACTTATACATGTGTAAGTACATGTAGATGTATGGCTGCCATGGCTTTACACATTATTGACAACAGAATTGATATCAATCTTCTTGTGAAGATTCATTTTATTACTATTATTTAATTTATTTTTCTTTTACTGTTTTTCATTTTACGGTTTTTTAATTTACTGTTTTGTTATGTTTTAGTTTTTTACTCTATACAGACACTGGGCACAGTTCATTCCACAAAGAAAATCAATTTCACTATGTTATGTTCTGAAAAAAACATAAAACTGTTCCCCTTCAAAGGGTCCCAGAGAGCTCTGAAGCAAACTGCACGTAGCTTTGTTCCTCCAGGACTCAATATTGACAAGATACTAATCACGTAATCCCAGGAACTAATAATACAATACATGATTACACACAATTACCCCAGGCACGAACATTCAGTCGTAAAACACGGAATACGACAAGTCACCACAACGCCTCAACACTAATCAGGAGATTACTGCAAACTCAATATCACAGATAATTAAAATTGATTAATGACCGAGAGATGTCTTGTACTCCCCGGATTTGGGAGTGATCTTGAAGGAACGAAACGACACATGATATAATCATAATGATGAATGAACATGATTACTACAGCATGCCCCAGGCCATTTTAATTATCCTTCCTCCTCAGACAAATCATGGGGAAGACAGGGAGATACTACAGGCTGAAGAGAAATGTGCACACACTCATTTATTGAACTTCTTTGGTCTATTTTTAATTTGTTCTCTGGATTCAAATACTGTACTATCCTAGAATGAAGTGACTGGATATACAATGTAAAACAACCTGGCAATCAGAGATGGCAGACTTCACTTTCTTCAGAAACACATGCATACATGCATGTTCACCAACAACAATATTATGACTCACCCTTGTGGTGAAGTGCTAATTTAAAACTACATGTAGCCCTGCCTGATATAAGGACACCTGCCTAGGCCTGTATGTACATGTACATATTGTATACTACAAAAAGAGGTCAATGGACATGAAGGTGGTATTTTCAGCCAAGCATGTCAGCCATGTAGTATTTCAAACCTGTGTCATATCAATTCTTCTTGAGCTGCTGAAATGTTCGTTTTAAGTTAGCACTTCAGTTTAGCTGCAAATTTGTGACAATCAGTACTAATTTATAACCATACAGCAATCAACAAATGAGGCTCTTTTCAATGATTTAGCAAAAATGTAGCAAAAAGAGTTTTTATTGAGAACCTACACACTGGAAATCTCCATCTACAGTCCTGTAGTACTGTTCACTGTTATGTACAGTTAGCGGGAACAGGATCTGAAGCATGGCAGCACACCACCTGTCTGAGTCATGACAGCACTTTACATGATACATGCTACCTGCTCCATCTATTCTCATCTTTTTCCAAAAACATCACAGCGCAATACCATAAATCTCAGTCTTATCCTCCAAGAGTTGCTCAGAAAAGCCTCTGCCTTTCTTTTGGTTATTTCTGACCAAAGCTTATTCCGTGGGGGCGATAAATATAGATAGTGCGCTGCGCGGCTCCCTCCCCCAGATTGCGTAGCTGGTAGACCTCCCCACGACCGCACGAGCGTTCCCAACCCATTTGTCTTGTACATAATCAGAACAGATCTCCTCAGATCCACCTGTTGGTACCGGTATCGGGGGACGCGGGCCCAATAATGTAACCTGATGGATAGAATATCCCCCCCATCCACCATGCTGTGATTAATGGCCCACCCTGGCTGGGGAGGTCTCCCAGGACCATTATCCTGACACGACAGGGAAAATTATTCCACTTCCGTGTTACCCCATGGGTGTTACACGACGCCGCAAAGTGGCACCGGTTGGAGTAATGTGCCCGGATATATACACTAAAACACATGGGCCGAGTGACGTTTCGCTCGCTGTGAATCAATGCTGGGGAGATCGCTACCTGATGGAAAATAGATGAACTTTGGTGGAGGCGAAGGGCAGGTGAAACATCAGTACAAGACTGGCTAAACTGTATTTCATTTGGCCCTGTTTCTGAGATTTGTCTGTCTCTTGCAAGCTATAATCATTCCATTTACAAGAAAACAGAAATGAGTTTTCAATTGTATGCCATGACCAATGATGTGTATATCATTATTTCCAACAAAACCGTACTTCACTGACAGAAAAAACATGAGTTTGCAATATAAAATACATGTACACAAGCAATAGTAATACTAAGAGCTACATGTAACATATACTATATTGTTACATATATTGGTATTTTCCATAATTTGGATTTACATACATCTACATCTGTCAGTGTTCTTTTAAATTATAAACAATACAATCAGATGTAAAAATTATATGAGTGTGTCTCTGGAAGTATATTGCACATTGTATACTGTACGTGTAGCTTCTAATCTCTGTCTTTGTCAGCCCCAATCACTCCCAGTAGATAAATCATGTCTCTATTCAAATCAAATAAAACTGGCAAACACATTGTAATTGCTAGTGTGTCAGCTCGACATGCATGCACATGTACATCAATGGATGGTGACAGTCATCTTACATGCCTAAGTACAAGTACAACATAAAATGATGCAAATATAATATGTATCAGTAATGGTCATAAAAAATGAGGGCAATATGCAAAATGGCTAAGATGTTCACTGACCAGAAAGGTAGCAAAGCACTTTATTTCTGATCACCTTTCAATTCCATGCAAACATGAAGTAATTAAACGCTACATGGCAAATTTCCTAACTTTTTATAATCTTTTCCAATTTGTTTAATTTCTTTTTCAGATTTGTATAAAGCAGTTATTTCAATAAATTATATTTGTTGACCAAAAAGTTTATACATGTACATGTATACACTGGAAAATGTAAATGCAGAATTCAATAGCTGACTAATAATTAATATTATCAATTCTCATAGCTGATTTCTGAGTTCTTCTGTGCAGGAACATGCATCGAACATGCATCCCGTGACTAGAAACAGCAGTTGCGTTTAGATCGGCCCGCAGCCTTGGTAGTCTGTCTCGCGGCTCCCGTCTGACACTCAGGCACATTCACATGTACGCAGAAACTCTATCCTACCCACGCCACTCAGGAGCCCGTGGCAAGGTGTAAACTCCTTCCGGGGTGCGAGGGGATTTGTACCTGCCACCTTCAAGACATGTGGGGCAAGCCTCAAATGGACTCTTAATCCAGCCTTCTTCCCGAGGAGAAACAAGACTTAATACTGTCCAAGTAGCCACTTGATCTTCAGATGTGAGTGCCGGTCAGCTGTGTTTGTGCGTACGGTGTACGGTGTTGTCATTTCTGCATCGCTCAAGGTGGAATCCCAGAGTGGACTTTTAAAAACCGAGGTGAGGTAATTCTACATTTTTGTATATCTTGTTCTTTTTGTCAAGCATGATTTTTTGTATGTGGTAAAATTAATCTCTTCCATCCAACAAACCTTTACACAAAGTCTAGGTTTTCCTTCAAATTTGTTCAGCTCCGATCTTAGTACAATTAATTCTGTTGAAACTGAGTACTTTGTGTAGTATTAAGTCTACTTGGATATGAGAATCGAAGACTCAGCTGCGTGTTTTCGTGTTTGGGCTGACATGTGCAACTGTGTTCCAACAGACTTTTTTGGGAACACGAATTATCCTTCCTTTTCCTTCACCTTGCTACTGTTGGAAAATGAGGTACAAACATAGATTTTCCAAACACAGTACATGTACATGCATACAGTAGATGGATTCATATAGATCATGCTGTGGGTATACATCGGATTCTGTATGTACATGTACTACTGATGGCAATCATCATCCAGCAGCACAGCCCACAATAATCAGCACACATCTGTAGCGGATGTATAGGTCATGAATATATGGCCGTGTACTACAAGCTTGTTATCCGCCGGCGTGATTTACGCCCCACGTCAAAGCCAAGGTTGTGCTAGGTCGGTAGTCGACTCAGGTTCTCCCTCATGAGTAAATTTTCGTCATAACCGAGAGGCCCTTCCATGAGGTCACTAGGTACAAAATGTACACGGAGGAAATATAGACATTGGAGGCAGTAAAATCTGAATGATAACCATCAAGAAATTATATGTACATATTCAACTTGAATATCCTTTGCATTACACTATCGGAGAAGAAGAAATGATATAACTATACATCTGTCTAACTGTAACATTTATAACAGCCTAATTTTGCTGAATGAAGCTGTTTTGGTCATGTCCCAAAAGTGTAAGGAGAATTTTTAATTCCCTTGTCTCATTCTATACCTATTACAATCTTTCCACTGAAGCATGCAAGTTTCAGCAAAGTAAGAGCATTATCTTTGTGAAGATAGTCATAATTTAATGAGTAAACTGTTCAATAAAATGAGTTACAGTACTACTACAAACATTCACTTTTAAGTAATGTATGTCTACTTTAAGTATGTAACTTGCATGTACAAACTCATCAGCCTTACCAATGGCATGTCGAGAACTTTCATTGCACCAAGCTATTATTAACCTCCGTAACAATGACCTTCATTTTCCAAGACCTTTTGGAGGCTTAAAGTTTAATGAAATTTCATAACAATCAAGGCCTGGGAAAATTACACGCCATTTAAAGTGACCTTTGCCGGGACACAAGTCTACGTGTGGCCAGAAGCTGACATGTTTGAAACTTTAAATGCTCCCTTCTGTGACTGTTCATTGAACTTTCACCAAATGTATGCCAGTAACAGCATAGAGAGGGATCAAATTGTTTCAAATGGTCCTTAACAAAAGTGCCTGATGTGTGTGGTACTAATTGAACAGTGTTTACAACTGTCGAAATACATTTATTAAGAAAATAATGAATGGCCATGGAGAAGTCATAGAATTACATGTGACAACAAAGTCATGTTTGAGTAGACAAAAAGTACAGAAGGTAGTTGTG